TATTTGCAAATCATTATTTGGTGTTAGCTTGTAAGCAGTTTAGAAAGATTGTGATGATTTCTAGTGAAGATTGTGACATAGAGTATTCCTTTTGTAGACAGTTCAGTAGGTATTCTTGAGTTACTGGCTAAGTCTGTTCTGGTGAGTGTTGTAAAATAAGGCAAAACAGAGATCTGATAATTAATTATCCATTTCTTTTTGTATATGAGAACTCAGAGAAAGCTTGAGTCAAGGAAACATCAAAACCTCTTTGCAAATTCTCACACATGAAACTTTGACATTGCTTACAACCCCTGTTACTATTGTCTTTTACCTGTCATGAGAATGCAAAAACCTTCTCTTTGAGGACACATAGAAGAAACTTTTAATCAGCTATGGTGATTTTCTCAAAGAGAGAGCTGTCATAGGCATTGTTGTTGAAATGAAAACTGCAGTTCAGAAGGGAGGTGAGGTCACAGAGCCTCAGACATTTATCTCAGAGCTGTGCTTGCATACCTGTCACCCAGGACTGGATTTCAGGATGTCAGCAGCTGCACAGGAGAAGGAAATTCAGTCTAAATGATTCATATGAGCTTTTGGTGAGCCCTATAAGAAGCAGAGCCAGTGATGAAGGTGGATATCCTAAGTGTTCATGTCTGCAAAAATATTTCTGAGGCAGAACCAGATGAAGTGAAATTTCATTCAAGCGGAGGGAAGACTTTCTGTGCTGTAAGAAGCAACTAAGGAAACATTCCTCCCCATTAAAAAACTCCTTCATCTCTCCTGTATAACCCAACAAATTGTCAGGTGATTAATAAATATCATAAGTGATAATGAAATCTGAATTTGAAGGTGTTAAAGCATTATAGATAGCTATTTTCACTGAATTTGTCATTTACCAACCATTCACATGAATCAAAGACTAACATATTTCATTATGACAATCATAGATTCTGGTATAAGAGATTCATGTGAATAACATAGATTTTATTGGTACAATAGTAATCATTTAACCCTGGAAAACTACTGAGTGTGTACCTGCTTGTGGTGTAAAACTTGTTTCTAGGCAGCACTACATATAGGTCTTTGGCATGAGCTGTGTTTTTCCCGAGTCTGTGGTCATGAGTGCCTGCTGCTTTCTCTCTTGAACTTTGGAACAGAAAGTTGTGTGCAAACTGATATTGTAATTATGATTCTTGCACACCCCTCATCAAGGACAAATGGATGTTCTTATTTCTTTTGGTTTAGTAACAGTCTTATGAGACTACAATATCAGAATGTGTTTTCCAATTTCCATTGCAGGATATTGAGGCAATGGAGAAAATTGAACCTGATAGAAAAGGATGCCACCACAGAGCTCCACCAATACCGTAAGTTGTCTTTTTAAATTAAATTATTACAGCGTATGGCATTTCATTGTGTTCAGATGATACTGTCTGAATGTATTTTAATTCACTGTGTTTCTAAAATCTTGATAAGTTATCAATTTCTTGACTTGATCACGGAATTAATAACAAATAAGCCTTTAACTTGAAAGTCATAATGAAATTTCCTCTGTGTGCATCTGTGCTCTGTGAAGGTACATATGTGGTTTTTAGTTAGTTCCCTTTGTATTTGTGAATTTGTGTGATGAAAAGAGAGTATGTGAGTGTCTTAGTTGAGGTAGTGAGTGTATATGTGTGATACAGAGGATTTTATGTGCAAGTATCTGAATATTCATGTGTTTGTGTGATCATGTGTCTGTGTGTTTGTGTTTATGTGTATGTATCTGGTTATGGTCATTAGCATATGTCTCCCTGTTGAGTATCTTATGTATCTTTCGGTGTGTAGTCAGAGGAGAAACTCAGCTGTTTTAGCTCAGATTTTTATTTTATTTATATTTTTGTTTGTATTTTATGGTAACTCTTAACACTCTGATTGTTCTCAGATAGCTGGAATAGGAGCATCAGGAATATCTGTTTTGTCACATTACTTTGTTTTATTACTTGTGTAGGTAGGACTAAGGTTCTTACAAGTACACTGTAAACTCATAAGCACAAGATCTATCTCCTCGACCTGGTAGACTTGATGACACACTGTTACTGAACATCATTTTCCTACACAATAAGCGAGTGTCAGTGTAATGTAGTTCAATATTTGATTTGATAGGTGTGTGTGGTCTCTCAGAAACATTTTTGATGCCAAAATGGATAGTGAGCCTGTCATGCCTTAATTCTCCCACTTGACCACAGGCAGTTTATGTTTGACTGAACTATAATTTGAACTTGATATTTTAATATAATTCCAGTATATTTGTGTATTTGTTTACAATTTCCAATTATGAAAAGAAGCCAAACTTCAATTGTATGCTGATGTCATAGTCTTGTGAGGCACAAATTGATGTGACGTATAAGCAGCCTGTAGATGTTCACATTCTAAGTGTTCTCCATGCCATAAGCTTTTAAACCTGGTGAGTCATTTTCTAAGCTTTTCCTCAGGTCTTATCCCAACAATGAAGATAATGCAGTTTCCTCCCCCAAATAGTTATTTTCGAAATGAACAAGTTTATGCAGTAATTTCTAGTTGCAACTCTGTTTGCAGATTGCAATTTAACTTTGGGAAGACTCTGAGCTCAGTGAAATCTTTAGTAATTACTTATCAGGGAGAATATGTTTTCAGTTGTTGTGACCAATGTGGCCACACTCTGTGTCCTTGTAAATAATCCCATGTCATTGGAAGCAAGTGTTAGACACTGAAATCTGAAGGACTGACTCCAGATATCATAACCATGGATGCTGCAATTTCTATTTTGATCCAGGCAGTTCTCACACTTCCCATTGTTTCTTCATTTCCTACAGTGAGTACAGTTTATGGTCCTTCCAGCTGACTTTCAAATGGACTGCTATTTCCACTTAACCACTGATTTCAGTTGACTCAAAGCTCATGTGTTGGAGTATTTTTTGTGACTGTAAACATTCATTTCTATCCTCAAGGATTGTCACTATTGTCATGTCAGTGTTTCCAGACAAATACTCCAGGAAGGTAAACCTAAGAAACTCCCAAATATATTGCATTTTAAATTGTATTTGGTCCGACCTTTTATTCTGGGGAATATTCTCCCTTGTTTGATTTTATTATCAAACATTATAAAATTTATGAGGCATCAATCAATGACAGAATATCTTCAGGTCTCAATGCAAGTGGTGATAGGAAAGCAGCTGAGAATGACATCTCCTTTTAGAATGACTTATCCATTCTGGATCAAACCTTGGGAAGACTGATATCAGATGGTTTATTTCCAGTTTATTCAAACCAGTATGATTTCAGATAACATTTCCTGGTGTAATACAGCCCCAGGTGCAGAAGAAAATGTAATTGGATTGAAACACATGGTACATGTCATTTCTTTCCAGAAGCTGGGTTCTGGAGACATTCTGACTGCATTAGCTCAGGGACCTTAGTTAGGATCTGGCCTGGTGACAGTCATACAGATGGCATAGAGGTTGTTTGTTCTATTAGCTCTTCTTGGTTCTTGTTGTGGACACTTGGGGGAGCCTCTGGATGTACAGATAATGTAAGTTGTCAGATTATGAGGTATCTCTGGTTCTGGTTGTAAAGCATGGTTCAACTGATAATGTAGATCACCAGGTTATTAATCCCCTCCAATTTCCAGCTTTCTGGATAGAAGAATATGTTTCACATGTTTACAATTAAAAATGCATACCTGTTTTCTTAGTGTTCCTAGTTTCCCTGCAGATCTATGGTTGCAAAGGCCTTTGTACTACCAAAAAAAAAGTATAAAAAGGCTCTGGATGCCATTCCAGTGAGCATCATAATGAAGTCACAATTTGTATAACAATTATATCCATGGATCTTTCATGATTATGTCATGATATGTTTCAGTATTTACACGACGTTTGTCACGTAGATAATCCCAATTCATATCAATAACATCTCAACAATTCTTCAAACAATCTCCTCATGTTTTGTGATAGGTGATATTTTAACAACAACAAGAACAAAGAAACAAACAAAAATCCATGTAGAACACATAAATAGCCTTCTCAGTGGACTTCACAAGTAAATTCAATATACATCAAGCAAACAAAAATTAACGATAAACGATACAACTGTGGACCCAGAGACTTATTTGGAGATTGGTTGAAAGGTCCTGGACATCATACATTATATGGTAAGTCCCTTACTAAAGCTCTACACCAAAAGAATAGAAATATCAAATTGCAATTTACCCATGTGAATCCAAAACTTTGTCACTCATAATAGTGTTCTGCTGTATTACTGGGTGGGGAGTGTGGGAAGATGAGTTCATATCTATTTTGGCCTATTACAAACTAGGTAACTGCCGAAGTGTGTTGTGCTTTGCCTAAATGTGCTCACAATGAAAAACTGCTATTCTTCCTATTTTATTGGTATTTCACTGCATATGAAATTTATGAATTCCATGGTCAGTGATTTACACTGCTGCAAAGGAAAATATCATCTGAGTAGCAGCTGTTAAAGAAAGTGTGGGGGAATCTAAAGTCAGATGCTATCTTTTAGAAATGAATTGTGAACTTTGAAGGCAAAGCCTTAGATTGACATATAAATTTCTATTCTTTCCAGTAATGCAGATACTTCCATGATCCCCAAATATTGGCTACAATATGATCAATGCTTCCATTCTGTAAGATGCCTGCTTGTCCCAATGATTACACATACTTGCTGTATCCTGCTTGACATCTGCCCTGGCGTCATGAGCCAGATATTAGATCCAATGAAAGCACAGATATTCCCATTCTGTGGATTCCTTACAGACTGTGCACATGTGAATACTTTAGCAGTCCTACAAAGTGTTATGATTCTTGCCAAAATAAATATTATTTGAGGCAATGACTTGGTGTGTGGTATATACTGACTTTTCGATCTGAAGCCTACTATTCTGGCACACCCATGTCACAGATATGGAAATTTCATTTAATCACTTTTCTTAACCAAGGGAATTTTGCAATACTTTGTATAATTAAGCAGCTCTAAATGAAAGAATGGACTTCAGGGGTGTGGCAATAGGAATAGTGTTCTTATTTCAGAGCACATTTGGAATTCTGGGGAATGTCTCTTTTCTTTCCTACTACCTCCTTCACTACTGCACTGCACAGAAGTTAATGACCAAGGATTTGATTCTCACACACCTGTTCACAGCCAATTCCTTAATCATTCTTTCTAAAGGAGTGCTAGAGATAACACATGCTTTTGAGATGAAATGGTTTACCAGTGATATTGGCTGCAAATTTCTTTTGTATATTCAAAGACTTGGCAGGAACATGTCCATTGGCACCATCTGTGTTTTGAGTGTCTTTCAGGCCATCACCATCAGTCCCAGTGTCTCTCGTTGGAAGGATCTGAAAATAAAAGCTGCAAAGTATACTGGACTCTCCATTTCCCTCTGCTGGGTTCTGTGCATGGGAATAAATATGATTTACCCTGTGCATACATATGCAATGGAAAGCAGCAAAAACATGACACTTAAACAAAATTTGATACATTGCTCCACTCCAGGATATAATGCAGTCAGAGGTTCATTGTATATGGCTTTCTGTGTAGTCCCTGAAATTTTGCTTTCTGTCATCATTGCCTGGATGGGTGGAGCCATGGTTATCACTTTGTACAGGCACAAGCAAAGAGTTCAACATATCCGAAGTACTCATGTTTCAAATATTACATCCCCTGTGTCCAGAGCCTCCCGGAGCATTGTTGTCCTGGTGTTCACTTTTCTAGGTTTTTATGCTCTCTCCTCCATCTTACAGGGTTGGAATGCTCTTGTATATAACAGTGGATGGTGGCTAATGAACATCACAGCTGTCATTTCTATGTGCTTTCCCACCTTAGGACCTTTTATTGTGAGTCATACCTCCACTTTATTCAAATTCCACTTTTTCTGCATGAGGAACCAAAATATCACATAATTGTATCATAGGAAAAAAGATTTTTATCTAATCATTAATCTCCTTCAAATATCAACATACAAATTAGTAGAGAAAACACTTGTCTTTCTTATGTAAAGTGTGTTTGGGCTTCATTTTGTTCATACTGGCACCTCTGTGATCATATCAGAAGAGACTGAGACCTATTGACCTGTCCTGCAGAAGATGTGTTTCATTGATATAAATCATTAGCACTGTTGCTTGAAACACCTGAATGAATTAAAACTCATTCATGAAGTGTAGTATATAATTGCTAGTTGGGGCTCAGCCTCCAGCACCCAGGGTATGCAAAAAAAATCCATGAATGGCTTGAGGGGTAGATTTTTCTATCTGAGGGGTAATTAAGGAAACACTTGCATTCTGAGGGTAAGTTTCTCTTTATTTCATCTTTAAAATGCTCTCTGAGATTCTGTCTCCACCCAGTCCATTGTTTATATATAGCTACATGTTGCATCCATACATCCATCTCCTACACGGCATATGTGAGTTCTACACACACGTTTCTATTTTCACATGGCTAAACATCTTTTTTTAACATACGTTTCTTTTCTACATCTCTGTTCTATACAGCTTCAATTCCCTAGACTCCACACAATTACAAATATCCACACAGCAATAACTATATATTTCTTTTACATACCTCTCTCACTATACAGCACTTTACACAGTTCCAAGTCACAGCTCCTCTTTGTAGCTAAAGCTCTCTCTCTCTCTCTCTCTCTCTCTCTCTCTCTCTCTCTCTCTCTCTCTCTCTCATACACACACACACTTTACCATCATTCACTCATTCTTACACCCACTCACTCCCTCACACTTCTCTCATTGTTCTTGTTCATCCTCTCTCAGTGAGCGCCCACACACACACACACACACACACACACACACACACACACACACACACACTTCACTCACATTCTGCACAGTGCTTATTCCAGCAGCTGTCCACAAACTCAAAACACCAGCCTCCTCACCACTGCTCCTCTCACAGCAGAACTCTGGAAAATTAAAAGTTACATTTTCCATGCCTGACCCATTCTTATTAAACAAGATGAATCACATAGCTTTTCTTAAGCTAGCCATGTCAGAGTGACCACCCAGTGAGTAACTTGTGGCCATGCACACAGCCTAAGTTGGTAAACATTCCAAGACAGTAAACAATTCAATTACTGAGGAAATTATGTCTACTAAAATTGCTTCTATCTTGACCTTGAATCAGCAAAACTCCTAGAAAACGGTCTTATGTTTTTGTCTCTAGGACCAACGAGATATTAATCGCCAGGGGCCACTAGCCTGCTTTGTATTTGTTCTGGAGTCTAAAATTGCTCTCTGTGTAAAAGGCTGTGTTTGTCTTTGTGACTGAGAATTCTATATCAGCCTGAGTATTGAGACTGAGTACTGAGTATTTGATGAATATTATTGGTATTCATCAAAATTATATAGCTGAAGCTGACCATTTACAGATATAGGTAAGGACAATAGATGGAACATTTTCATGAAATAAACATACAAGCAGTGGGAATACACCGAAAGATATTCTTAGGGAAGAGATGAAGTGACTCATGAGTGAAATTATAGACAGAGACAAACAGTTATCCACAGCCATCGACCCTAAGGCATTTCCAGGTGGAACTCTCCATCACAGAATCACTCATCTGGTGTGTCAGCTTGATGAACACCAGTTTTCACCTGTATGTATCCCCACAGGCCTGTGCAACCAGCAGATCTTAGCAGTATAAGCATTAAAAACACTGTCAGAAGAAAACACAATGCTATGGAGCAGTACAAGCTGATACCAACAATAAATTGAGTTGACCCTATCATTCCTGCTATTGTTTATATGCATATTCTCCTGTCTACTTCATTTTTTGTATAAGCAAGATCAGTGGAAGATAGTATCTATGCCCATCTCTAGAGTTAAGGACAAAATGATTTTTAACACTAAAGGTAATAAGTTTCCCATCTCTCCCAAGGCAAGGGTTATGACAGTATTCCTGCACTTTATCTTTATAGCACTGTTTTTCTCAGGGACCCTAATGGAAGGAATCCTTAACCTCATGTCTCCACTTTGCCCACTCCACTCTGCTAGGATGGAAGATTTTGGAGAAAAGGAACAGTTCTCATCAGGCAGTTTTTGCTGGGAATTCTTCCACAAATATTCAACACCTCTTTTTTAAGAATCTTATACTTCCAATCAAGTTGTGTTAAAGATTTGTAGAATAATATCAAATGTTCAACAAGAAAAATAATTAAAGCTGCAGTTTCAAATAAGCTAGTTTGATAAATCCTCAGTCTTCTAGATATCGGGGCATAATTGTTTCTAGGTTATAGTCACTGTATGTCTTTAAAATGAGTCTCTTCCTTGAGACAGCCAGTTAATTTACATTGCAGTGCACACTATTGCATTTACCCATACAGTTGTGACACTGTTGTAAAATAAAATGAAATAAAATCCTGTTAAGTAATAACATCTGAAGGATATGAAGATGGGATGGTAAGAGAAAGGTATTCCGTGTTGAATATAGACCATTTGTACAGTTGATTTGTGGGTAGAATACATTTTTAAAATAGAATCTCTTCTACATGGTAGAAAATAATGATTTTAAAAGAGTAGCCAAAGAAAAAGGTCCTTAAGCTGATCTCAAAGGGCTGGAACTTGTGACTGTTTTACATTGCAGAGAAACTTACTAGACCCTCATCTTCCAGTAGGAATATATTAAAAAATCATAATAGATGAGTGACACCAAGGACAAAGTAGAACCTCATATATACTATGATTTTTTACTATTCAAACATAATATGAATAAGACATTATACAACTGGATAGGTGAGAGATTAGCACAACCATTTTGTAACAAAATAGAAGGATTATAATGACATATCAAAATACATGTCCTGTAAGTATCACTATGTCTAGAATATTCCATTCAGAATGGGATATCACTGTTAACCAACCACACACTTGCTATATTACTGTGTTGATATGGTCTGAGTGATATACACTGCCTTATGCTGCCAGGATCCAGGATTATGAACATGGGAAGAAATCCAGAACTTTCTCTGGCTAAGGAGCCAAGGGAAACCACAGTCAGGAGTTAGATCTGCTGTTTTCATGCCCAACCCATCCCAAATTGTCTTCTCTCAGGAGTCAATGCAAGCATCCTGTTTACAGCTTGACATATCTGCTAACAGCCATAAGGGGAAGCTCAAAATGTATTTCCAGAGAAATATTCTAACCCCACTGTTAGTGTAATGTAAACAACAATTCTCTTTTTCTCTATTTGTGTTAATCAGAATTCACTTTGTGTAAATATTTCTATTCACAGGGTATCGAAGGTTGAAAAAGAATGGTTCCCACAGGCTCATATATTTCAATACATTGTCATCAGGGGTGGTACATTTTAAAGAATTAGAAAGACAGGGTTGTGAACCTATATATTAGGATTAGACTACCTCTCTCATCTGTAGTATTAAGTATTAAGTTATCATGTTGTTAGCTGCATATTGTGCTTGAAAGTTCTGCAGAGGGAAAAGTCAGGTGAGCATATTGTTTTTATCTTCAAAGCAAAGAAAGCAAAGAAGTTAAGTCTAGTAAGAGTACAACTCTTAAAATTGATGCATGGTAAAAAGAGAGCTTTAGAGGAAAAGTCAGTAATAGGGAGACTTTCTGAGTTGTAAGATAAGTAAACAAGGAGAAGACTATTTCCCTAAACTTATGCTAAGTCTTGATGTAGCAAAAGTGTAACAAAATACTCTCTCAGGCTACCAGTTGACAATGGGAAACTTAAAAATACCTGACTTCAAAGGCGGTTCAGGATTTTCTTAATTACATCATTCAGGTTTCCATTAATTGTGCACATGAATCACAGATTAATTTGCAGCATGACAATCACAAATTTTGGAATATGACTTAGTTTTTCTAAATAGGCTGTAGAAATGGATGTAAGAAAATCATTCAATCCTAGGAAAGAGTCAGGATCTGGACTCCTAGGCGAAAGGTTTCAGTGCTTGGTCAGGACCTTAGTCTTCCTAGCACTCACAGTTTTCCATCTTCACTTTCGTAGTACCCTGTGAAAGTTTAGGTGGCAATGTCAATGTCAGTCCTGAAAAATTATTGCCATGCATACATAAAATTTCTGGTTTTTCCCTCTGTGTTTTTTTTATATTCTTTGTTCACAGCAGTCTCATCCTTGCTGAAGTCTCCAGAATTTAGAGTCTTATAATTATCAGGCTAGAGCTTAAATCTACAACTTATACCATATGTACTCCTTGGTCTTCTATGTGTATAACTCATAAGATTTCACAGTTTATACATTATATCCATGTGTATGATTTATATAGAAGTATTTCAAGAGTCTTGTCTTATTACAAATAGTTTGACAAGACAAAGGTAGTAGCAAATAAAACTCTTAAAAGGTAATTATTTATAACTCAATGTCTTACTGTGTACATAAGCCCTTGTAACTGTGTGTAGAAGCTCTCTTATGTTTAGTTGAACATGGACTTATGTGAAACTTTGGAGTCAGAGCAAAACCTCAATTGTAGTTCCTCCAATATTTTTTTTATCTTGTTTCGTTTAAGAACATGCTTCTCAGTCATCTGAAATTTCCAGGGAATATTATGACTTCTTGTGAGCCTGGCCCAGAGATCTAGCAGACTCTGACACTTAACTAGTGTTTGGATTATCACTCTGGGTTCCCACCTCCAGATTTTTATTTGAATTTTGGAGACTGAGGATAGGCCTTTATTATGGTAAGTCACAAAGTGTAACAGATTAAGTCTCTCCATTGGCAACTCTTGGGCTTACGGTGAAGATGAAATCCCGCATATTTTCTCTTTTGTTTGCATCATCCCTTCTTTTTCTGCGGTGACTCTGGGTTCCAGTCTTTATGCAGGATTCTCCAACACAGAGTGCATTCCACTGATGCACATTGTCTTCAAGATGTTGGCATCCCTTGTATTAAAACAGATATGTCTTTGAATTT